TTCAAGAAGGAGGTCAAGCAACCCTGGGTGTTACCCTACAGTTTCCGGGGGAAGAGCAAAGAATGTGCGTCTTCTTTCTACCAAAAAAGCTTCTCCTCCCTTTCGGCCTGCCTCGTCCACTCGCATATGGCGCAGTCGACGTCCAAAATCTTCTACAGCCACTTTGCCGCCAAGTAAGTCGCCGTGGCTTGGACCAAACTTTGTTGAACACCAAATGAGCCCTAAGCCTAACCAGCCGGCGTGTCAACAACGATGTCGTTCATCAACTGGCGTGTTGCCACCACCTCGCCACCGTGAGTGTACATTTAATTCGAACAGAATTGCACCGCTACAGCCTCTCCACCACCGGCAAAAAAGAGGAACTCGTCGGCCGACTTTTATTTGATATCGGGAAAGATTCACCGCCAGCTCAGGAACCCGAGGCAAGCGCGCCTAACATTTCAATGCCGCTAGCGTCCACGCCAGCACTAATAGTGTCATTCCCAGCCATGCCCTCCTTCACGTCAGAAACAGCAGAGAACATGCAACGTATGGCGGCCTTTCTTCACGAGAATATGGCCGTGATGATGACAACGATGGCAAGTCATACGAACCAAGTGCATGTGACAACGCCACTGGATATATCAGCTTCGCTGCCTACCTTCAGCGGAAGTGGTACCCCGAGTTTCAAGCACTGGATAGAAGAGCTCGAGCACGTTCAACAGCTTGCACGATGGGAAGATGGGATCCTTCTCGCCACCACGCAAGGGAAGCTTCGTGGAGTCGTAGCAGGCTGGCATGCCTCAATAAGGCGTCGGCTTACCACCTGGACCATCTGGAAAGCAGGACTCTAAGAACGATTTGGCGAGCTACTTTCAGTCATACACTGGCAACAGAAGGTCTCAGCCCTCACATAGAAAGTAGGAGAGCCTGTAGCAGTATGCTTATGCAGAACTCAAAATCGTGTCTCGCGGCCCAGTTCCCATTACTGACAAGGAACGTATCAAATACCTCGTTCAAGGCATTCGAGACGACCAGGTAGCCACATTCATCGCTGTTTAACGACCTCGTACTGTGGACAAATTTCTCAATATCGTAACAGAAGTAGATGGAACACTCGACCATGTACGCCTGATCTGATCTCCGCAGTCGACAGAGCAATTCGTAGGAAAGTCGAGACTGCCTTAGTATCGGAGTGCTATTGTTGGAACTGACAGAACTGTAGACACCTCACAGCATGCTCCACCATCTACGTTCCAGTATACCACATGTATGACGCAGCCTCCTTGCATTGCCAGCCTATCATCTGATGACCAAGAGTCAAAGTATGAAGCAATTTCAGCCAAGTATGGTTTCTCAGCATACAGTAGAAGACAAGACTTGAGAGACGCTGTTTGTTACAACTGCCAATAGAAGGGTCACCTTGCGAATAAATGTACTGCACCAAAGCACCCTTCTAACGACAAGCTGACAGTCCCCAAAGCACCAACTGCATTTGTGGGCAGCGTCGACGACACTCTGTACAGATTGAAATTCTGATGTGCCATGGTTACTGTTGTAGTCAATGGAGTTGGAGAAATCAGTGCCTTTCCTGACAATGGCTTTAATATTACAATTGTTGCAGCAAGTCAAGTATCAAACCATAAAATTTAGCCGTGGACCAAACCTTCTTTGCTCGTCGTCAGCGGAAACTCCGTTGTGCCTGAAGGTTCATCCTTTTTAAAAATACCATTGGACCACTATCTGCAATTGTCGAAGCAGCCATATTTAAACAGAACGCCCTTCCCCTTATTCTAGGGGAAAATTGGTTTTACACAGCTCAAGCCGAACTCCACTTCATACCTCCCAAGTTACCAGTCATCTGCCAGCCATCTACCAACGTTGTCGTGCAGTGCAAAGAACTATTGCCAAGGATGTCAAACGCAGTAATTTTGATGTCTGCATTGTCACGTTCTGACCCCTTGCGGTCAACAGCAGAGCCTCTCCAAGTCAAGTATGAGCCTAACGAGAACAAACCCCTCTGGAGCCAGCTCAACAAAACTGCCCTAGTTTATCTCTGAACATCATGTCCCACAAGCCCATTTCAGACAAGCTCTTCCAGCCTTCAGAGGTGCCATGTTCATCACCGCTCCAGAAAGCTGCGATCCCGGGAATACTACGCCTTTGCAAACCTTTGTGCACTAGCGAGCCCTCACAGCACAGCTACAGAAATTTGCTTGGACTGCATTCTAGCGAAGCATACGGCACAAACCTTGCCACTGAGGCCCGTGTGCTCAGATTTGGGTGCACGTTAAAGAACTCCAGGTGGTCTAAATTTCCGGAGCCCTCCACTATGGCGTCTCTCATAATCATATAGTGGTTTTGGGACGTTAAACCCCACATATCAATCAAACCTTGCCACTGACTATTCGCCATCTGAGAATGACGACAAAACAAACACTGTAGCTGCTGACCACTCTACGTACGACACGAAAAATACCCAAGAAAACAAAGCATTCGCACAAGCACTGCCATTAGCTGATCTTCCAACAGTATTTCAGAATGCAGAGGTGACCTGCCATGTGTCCGTCACCATTCCAAAGACGTTGCAGTCCTTAAAGGTCTGCGAAGAGTAGCTCAATGTGGCATCACTGTTGTGCAGCCTAGCAAATATGCTGCAGTGCAGCCAGACTGTTGCGCGACACTGACAGTGCCACAGCCAACGCGTGCCCCTGTGCACCCGTCACTTGCAGTTTCTATCGCAGTTCCTGTCAATAAAACAATCAACTGCATACGTGCCACAGCAAGTTCCTTCCTCAACTTGATTCTTTGCATTTTGCGCACAAATGTCAAAGCCGACCCCTGGAAATGTGCCCCCTAAGGTACATAAAGACTGCAGGAAGAAGAAGTGGTCTACACCGTCACCAAATGTCTTGCAGTCCACTTCCAAGGCTCACTTTTCGAACGGTGGTGAGACTACCTCGAAGTCCGAAAAGTGTGGCACAACATTGGGCTCTTCCAGCCGTAAGAAACCGTGCAAGAAGCACAAGCACAAAAAGACTAAAAGATGCACAGTCCCAAGTATAGTTCTTAGAAAGAAAGCACACACACCTAAACTCCTGACAAGAAAGTGACGATTTCGAGCAATATGACAGCCAAGTCATCAAGACAGAGCAGCAAGGAAGACCAGTTCCCAAATGAGAGAAAACCTCCATTCTGTCTTGTCATGACACCTCCCCTAAACTCGGAGGAGTCCCCTTCAAAAGAACATGTCCCAGCCCATGATCCCCCTAATCTTGTTGACGCACATACCTTACGTTCATGCGCACATGAAGCCTCAGCCCAACATCCAAGTCGACGACCCCAGCATCATCGTATGCAACCTCGAAATCTGCAGGACTCTGACCTATCGAAAAAAAATTAGTTTTTTTCTTTTCTGAATAGACTTGGACTTCTGAAGGGAGGTGGGATGCCAGATAATTTTTTTTTTTCCAAGTGGACTTGGATTTCTAGGTGGGGTGGGATGTGAGCTCAAGCTCCAGAGATAGTGGGTTCAAGAAGGAGCTCAAGCAACCCTGGGCGTCGCCCTGCAGTTTCCGGCGAAGAGCATCGAACGCGAGTATTCTTTCCACGATTAAAAGCTTTTCCACCCTTTCGGCCTGCCTCATCCGCTCACATTGTTTAGTCTTACAAAATGCATCGTAGAGCATATCGAGACGTCATGTACTGCACAAGCTTGTCATTGTCTGTGATCATCATCATGGCATATAGTAGGTACCTTGCATGTGCTGTGCCGTAATGACGGAAGGAGATTGTGTGATCTGAAACGCGCTTGTTCTTAATCGTCATCGGCTGGCTACGACAAAGGGGGGGGTGCGGGGGGGACAAGCCTTTACCATAAGGAGCTTGGCCCCTAAAAGAAAATTGGGTACCTGGGAATGCACTGAATATGTTTTTAATAGCGTTGCCTTTGTATTCTTTGTATCGAGGAAGAAGCTTTTTTATGATGTTTTATCGCAGTATGACGTCACAGAGAGGCAGCAACTCCGAGCGTATTAGCAGCAAATCTGTCATCGGCATGTGATGCATGTAAACAACGATGAGTAAATGGCTGGCCAGTGATTACAACAGTGATAGCGGGTGCATAGGAAGTTCGTAGGCATTTCATGCACATAATTGCTCGTTGTTGAAAGCATGCTACCCATTACACAGACTAGCCATCTGTAAAAACTTCACTGCCACAAGATTACATTACAGTAATTCACAATTTAAACTTTTCGAGTAACATCACATAAAAAAAGTATGCACTACAGGGACAGCATATTGCTATGGCCTTCAACGCTTCAAAGCAAAGCTACCAATTCTTTTTCTGATCTGCTGTGTCATATCGCACTGTTTTCTTAACGATTATTTAATGAAATATCTGTTGAAGGAAACAGCGTATCAGACTGTGCTCACCGTTAAGGATGTTCTGTGCGCTCACACATCATTGGCAGACGTTGTTACTTTACCAGAATATTAAAAGCTACCATATCCTGAGCACTCTGCTCGCTTGGTATTGTAAAAAAAATTGCAAGTGTGTACTGCCATGCATACCAAACTAATATTTTTGTTGGCTGTGTTTCACTCTGTGTACCACAAGTGCATGTTTTTTGCATGTTTGCTTTACTTACTTATTTATTCTGGCACTGAAATGTGGTTGCTGCTAAGAAGTCAGCTCACTGCTGAGAACCAAGCTGTTGTGCATTTTAAAGCTAATTCTCATAGACCTGCAAAAGTTCTCTAAATACTTTCCACCATTATGCTTGAATTTTCCTTTCTATCTTTACAGCTAGTGATCTACTGTAGGATAGTTTATGTGCAGAAATGCTTGTTTTATATATACTTGCCCTCGTGTTAGCTAGACATGTTTGTATTTTACTCCCTTGAATGTCTATAACCACAGTTATGGCTAACCTTAAACAAGAAGCACTTAAAATTGGTTGAGTGTCTTGTGCTGCAATAATAACTCAATAATTCAATTTTTTACTTCTTCGTACCAGACGTTAACCATCTCCAGGGATCATGGAATGACTCTGTCAGTGCAGACAGACATGGTCACTGTGACTACACATTTCAGAGGACTGCAGTTCCCTCTCTCTAGTAAGCATCTTGCAGAGCTTGTCTTTTCTGCTGTGTGTGAACAAATAACGAAACATGTATGTACTGTTGTGACGGTGTGATTTCTTGGTTCAGTTCAGCAATATAGTTGCCTCAGATTGCACAAGATATTGATACGAGAAGGAGACCGACTTGGAAGAGCAGATACAGATATATTTTCAGCCGCTTAAGCGAGCAGTGCCAGCGATACAGATCAGTTCGCGCCAGTCCTCCTCATCTCCATGCCACTGGTACGTAGCATGACCCCCTGTGGTGGGGGCACCGTCCCAAAGCTTTAAAGGTTGTTATTTGACGCTCTCTTGTAGGGTTTGATCCGCGAGACGTGGACAATATCACTGGACTGCACAGCAGATGATGACAGATAGAAGGAGCTGATTTTATAGGTGACAGGTCTGTTTAAAAAGGTTGCCAGGAGACTGCCACAGTGAGTAAAAGTATAAAAAAAGAATGGAAACAAGGAACAGGTAGTACTTGAGAATTTTAGTTGAAAGAAAGCCGAAAGAAAAATTCCTAAGTGCACTACACTGGGGTTAGATGGGGTCCACCTCATTAATGAACTAAGACACAGAACTAAAGAAGCACTGCTGAAATCTGTAGAAAAGTGCTTACAGAAGGAAATATCAGACACTTGGCGCAAAAGCAGGATGAACCTACTCCATAAAGGCAAGGGAGCAAAGGTAAACATTCACTTCTATAGACTGCTAACCATTACATCTGTGCTATATAGGTGGATGATGCAAGCAGTAAAATTAAAAATAGAAATGTGGGCAGAGCAAAATAATATTTTAGGAGAACTTCGGAATGTCCAAATTGACAGGTTAAGGTTAGATGATAACCTGTTTGTTCTTATTCAGTCTATAGAAATATCTAAAATAGAAAAGAGGCCCTTATACATCGTTTATCTGGACATCACTGGGGCATATGACAACGTTAATCAGGAAATTTTGTGGGACATATTGAAGGAAGTGGGCATAGGTGACGACTGTATACAGTTTTGAGAGAAATATACCGAGAAAATACTGTTTGCATAGAAGGGGGTGGAATAAGTAGCAGTGACATCGTTGAAATTAGCAAGGGGCTGAGACAGGGATGTTCCTTGTCCCCGCTGTTACTCATGCTGTACATGGTGAGGATGAAAAAAGCGCTCGAAGGTAGCATCGTTGGGTTTTATCTGTCACATAAACAGGCTGACACGATGGTTGAGCAGAAGCTGCCAGGTCTATTTAAGCAGACGATATTGTTACGGCGTGGGTGACTACTGTGCAAGATGCATTTACTGAAGAAAACTACAGGCAAGAGTCACAATGGCAGGTTGGCACACTCGCGCGCATGTCAGCTGCTTCTGATCTTTGTCTTCCTTTACTTCATCTCTGTAACAGGACCCCCGGGCGTTGGAACGCCTCTTGACGAGAGTCCGGAGAAGTGCGAGAGAATCAGGGTATTCATGCGCAAAACATAGACAATGTCAACAAGTGACGAACTTGGTGACATATTGGAGTGCACTGGCGCTATCTCGTAGTTCACGTCGCTAACTTGACGTAAGGCTAGGTAGGGTCCTGCATATCGAGACAAGAGTTTTCTGGAGAGACCTACACGGCAACGCAATGACCAGAGGAGCACATGGTCACCTGAGGCGGACGTTATATTACGATGCTGGTGGTCATAGTGGGCTTTTTGCATATCCTGTGATCTGGCGAGTGAGCCATGTGAGCCCGATAATTAGCTTCGTGAGAGTACACGAAAGCAGATGGCATGAGAGGCAAGGTGGTTTCAGTTGGCAATATGGAGTCACAACTATACAAAAGATGAAAAGGTGAAAATCCCGTGGTGTCATGTCGAGAGGAATTATATCCGAAAGTCACATAGGCCAACGTGGTGACCCAGTCTCGATGATCTTGGGAGACGTACATCGAAAGCATCTCTGTGAGCGTGCGGTTGCGACGTTCAGTTAGGCCATTAATTTGTGGGTTGTAGGCAGTAAATAGCTTGTGGGCTGTGGCACACGATCGAAGGAGGTCGTCGACAACTTTGGACAAGCAAGCGCGGCTGCGGTCCGTAAGCAGCTGTCGGGGTGCACCGTGGTGTAAGATGACGTCCTGAAGAAGAAAATCCGCAACGTCAGTGGCGCAACTGGTTGGCATGGCCTTTGTTATTGCGTAACAGGTCGCTTATTCTGTGGCAATGGCGATCCATTTATTTCCCAGTGTTGTCGTTGGAAAAGGGCCAAGAAGGTCGAGTCCCACGCGATGAAATGGTTCAGAGGGTACTTCAATTGGGTGAAGATATCCAGCTGGCAGCAAAAAAGGTCTTTTCCAGCGCTGGCAGAGGTTGCAAGGGGTGACATATCGACGCACCCTGCAGTACAGTCCTGGCCAGAAGAACCGACGTCGCACGCGGTCGTATGTGCGGGATACACCAAGGTGTCCCTCCGTTGGTGTGTCGTGAAGTTGTTCAAGTATGGCAGGTTGTAGATGACAAGGAATGACAAGCAGAAGCTCAAGGCCTCCAGTGCTGACATTGCGGTGGTAGAAGACGCCGTAATGCAGCACAAACATACGGGATTCAGCGTCACGGCTGTCAGACTGGATAACGTCGATGATAGTGTGCACTGGCTCATCGTGTAGTTGGATACGCATATCACTGATGTCAGTAAATGCCATTACGCTGCTCTCCAGGTCAGGTGCAACAAGATCAGGAGGATCCACCAGATGACGAAAAAGAGTCTGCATCCTTCTGCAAACGGTCAGACTTGTAGCTGACGCCAAACGAAAATTCATGGAGTCTCGGAGCCCAGCGACCCAGACGTCCAGTGGGGTCCTTCAGAGAAGTCAGCCAGCAGAGGGCGTGATTGTCCGTTAAGACGGAGAGTATGCGACCACATAAATATGGCCGGAACTTGGCGATGGCCCAAACTAAAGCTAAACACTCACTCGCGGTGATGGAATAATTCCTCTTGGGGGGGAAAGCAACCGACTGGCGTAAGCTATCAAGTACTGTCTACCGTGGTGCCACTGAGCGAGAACTGCGCCGACACTGTGGCCACTGGCGTCAGTGCGAACTTTTGTGGCATTAGAAGTGTGAGGAGGTTTATTAGCCGTTAAAAACAGTGACGAGACAGCGTGAAGAACCGTCCAGCGATCGGCACAGCAATGAACCAAAGCACGAGCCGAGAGAGCCGGGCGTTGGCGATGCTGCTTGCTGCAGGCACATCTTCTTCACAATCGCCCCCGCTGAAAAAGGAGCCATCCTGACGACCTAAGAAGTTTCAGGGAGAGGCTCATGATACGGTTTTAGGCGGGAAACATGGACTATAACACGTGCACGCCGGCGCGTGTCATCCGATCGGGAAACTGGCTCAATAAGGTAATTAACCGGAGAGGTTTTCTCTAAAACGGTGTAAGGCCCCTCGTACCGGGGGACAAGTTTTGATGAGAGTCCCGGAGTTTGGTATGGGATGGCAAGCCACACGAGAGACCCCGGGGCATAGCTGGGATCCGGAAGAGAGGTGCCACGGTTTTCTTTCTGGCGGTGCTGCTCGTCCGAGGTGAACGCCCGGGCAAGCTGGCGGCACTCTTCGGCTTGTCGAGCAGCATCGGTGATAGGTGGACATTCGGAAGCATCAGGACGTTAGGGAAGTAGAGTATCAATTGTATGGGAAGGGTCACGTCCATAAAGAAGAAAGAAAGGTAAAAATCCCGTGGTTGTTTGTATTGCAGTATTGTATGCGAATGTGACGTATGGGGGAACACGGTCCCAGTTGCTATGATTAGATGCCACGTTCATTGAGAGCATATCACCAAGCGTGCGGTTAAACCGTTCCGTTAGCCCATTAGTCTGCGGGTGGTATGCTGTCGTTTTCCGATGAATGACGTGGCATTCCGAAAGCAGAGCTTCAATGACCTCGGAGAGGAAAGCGCAACCTCTGTCACTAAGGAGCTCTCGCGGTGCGCCATGTCGAAGGGTAAATTGTCGTAAAATGAAAGAGCGGTAGCGCTCGGTAAAGCGGCTGTTTCGGCGTAGCGTGTTAGATGGTCGACCGCCACTATAATCCACCGATTGCCATCTGGTGTCAATGGAAGGGGCCGTAGAGGTCAACGCCAACGCAATCAAATGGCTTGGCAGGGCACGGAAGTGGCTGCAATTCGCCAGTCGCACGTAGCGGTGTTGATTTGCGTCGCTGGCAGTCAGGACAGCACTGCACAAATTTGCGTACAAAATTGTACATGTTGCGCCAGTAATAGCGATGGCGAAGGCATTCATGTGTTTTGAACACCCCGGCATGGCCACATTGTGGATCGTCGTGAAGAGAGGCGCATACCTGCGATTGTAAAGTGCATGGAATGACCAGTAGCCACCGGCGGCCATCAGGAGAGTAGTTGCGTCGATGGAGAAGTTGATCGCGGATGGCAAAATGGAAAGCTTGACGTCGGAGGGATCGAGATACCAGAAGGTTGGGCGTACCGGATAGATATTCGAGAAGAGATGTGATCCACAAGTCACGACGTTGTTCGGTGGCAATTGAGTCAAGATTTAATGATGACAAGGTCTGGAGGCACGTGTTTCCGTACGTCGGATCTGGTGGCAAAGGTGAGCGGGACAGGGCGTCAGCGTCAGAGTGTTTGTGTCCGCAGGTATACGTTTGTGCCGCCAGAATACGACGCGAATGTCGTACTCCTGGATGCAGAGTGCCCATCGCGCAAGGCGGCCAGAAGGGTCTTTCAGCGTGGAGAGCCAGCAAAGCGCGTGGTGATCAGTTACTAGATCTAACGGGCGGTCGTATAAGTACGGCCGGAACTTTCCAAGCGCCCACACCAGAGCCAAACACTCTTTTTCTGTCACGCTGTAATTAGTTTCGACTTTCGTCGGAGTGCGGCTAGCGTAGGCTACAACGTATTCCGAATAGCCGTGCTTTCGTTGAGCGAGGACAGCGCCTAGCCCGACGCCGCTGGCATCGGTGTGCACTTCGGTAGGAGCCGTCGGGT